TAATCTTTTTTTATCGACACAGATGTCTCGTACATATAAGAAACAGGTGTACAAGGAACGAAGGCGAGCACAGATTAAACAACACATTCATGTACACCGTATGCGACTCCCCAAGCACGAACACGCCTCTTTAATATTTCTCATCCCTTTAAATACTTCTATCTGTTGGTCGGTTCTCGATCTAAAATAATCGTGACTGTTCTATAAATTTCTTGGCTGGCTGATAAGCCTTACGATATCGCAGGAACGTACAATCAGACGCGTGTTTGAGCACAGACAATCCTTTCTACTTACGTTCTCTCTCTCTCAGGAAATATTGTTTTCCTTTCGTAATTTGATTTAAACTTAAATAAATAGCTAACACTAAATTAATTAATTATTGTAATTGGCATTTAATTGATGAAGTAATTTCAGATTCATTAGTAATGATTCGTTAACGAAACAGGCAAATATCTGTTGAATAATCCCACCATCTGAAATTGCATATGTAAATTATTACTCAACTAGAGAAAGTGTGGGATTGGCAAGGTCGATTGTGCGTAAGTACATACGGATTCGATGGAAGTAGATTAAAATTTTGCGCGAATAACGAGCGAAGAATTAATGAAAACTGGTAGAAAATTAATTATTCGAAACCCGTTGCTATCAATGTTACCATATCGTAATTATGGTAGCGGTGTGGTACATGCACAGTTTACACGAAACGCGGTGTAGCATCGCGATAAGTAAAATTTACCGCGGAGTATATGGGCGTGTATGTATGTAAAATGTGAACGTAATGCTAATTACAGGCCTCCGGCTAGTAATCGGATCGATAATCCGATTATGTACAATTGTAACACGAAAAAGCCGTGAAAATAACTGATTCGCAAACGCCCGATAATCCTGCTGGTGTATAATTTCCTTCTTACAACATCGTTCCCAAGTTGAATCTAGTTTACCGCTGAAGGCTGATAACATTTTATTCTATCAGTACTCGTATAAATCACGGGAATCCAATCTACGTCTATAAATAATACCATGTATGATGATTAAACATGTACATGTTATTCATCTCATTTATATTACTAACTAGTGACTAGTTGGTAATAATAGAAAAGAAAAATGCAAATTGAACACTTCTTAGTTTTGGAAAGGACAGTTTTGCAACATCGATTAATCTTCATTAGTAATTCCAACCACGTACGGACAACAACGATGAGAATACTGGGAACCGAAAACTTTTAAAAAATCGTCCACAACGAGGAATTTTCTTGCGCTTTCTTGGGCTCATCAGCTTTTCGAGTTCAACGACTTTGCTCAGGTTTCTTACGTACTGGTTGAAAACAAAGGAACAAGAAGAAAAGTCGACAGCTTGCGTCCTAATTACAACCGACGTGGTAACAAAGTGAATTTCAACGTTTGTTTTTTCTACCGACGCGTTTCTTCATTGACTCGACAATCTAGAATTAAATAACCTTCTACTCAGCATTGTGAATGGGAATCGTGCGCAAGGAGCAAACCCATATAATAATCACTGCTTACATGACTGTAGAATAATTTAAAACGGTCGCCGAGCTTGATATTCAAAGACCGATTCAATTCAAAATCATGTACACGTACAAGTCGTGCAATGAATAAAGAAAATTTTTCTACCAAGGAACAGATTCGCTTTTCTATGAATAACACCATTTACTTTCATTCTACAATTTTCACAAGAGTTATGAAAGAAATATATTTGATTAAAATTGTATCATAATAATCATCTACCGACAAGTTTATATTAAAGCAATTGCATCTAGAATTGAATTACAAAAGTCAACAATTGTTCCATAACAAATCAATAAACAATTGTTCCACGCTCAATCTGTTTAATTGTTTCATTAAAACGGAAATAGTATTGTTACGCTATAACAATTTTCAGTTTTCTCTAAAGTAACAAGTTGCATGTTTTTTCATTTAGCTTTCTATTTTATATCATAAATAAAGCCTGTTTTGAATGAACAATAAAGATACAGAATAAAGCAATGAAGGACAGTGCTCTTAAATACAGGACGCATAGACGCTATGGATATTCCATTCACTGGGCGGATCTTTTAAGGGGAGCGAGAACGCAGTAGTATAAGTAGCTTTTTAAACTGGCGCAAGGCAGTGAGCGGCGACCACAACTACATACCTCGTTTCAGTGTCACGAAGAAACAATCGTACGCATGCATGCATGCACCTCAGTCAACGTACGATAAAGAAATGATAATCGAATATTCTACTATAATTACCAAGTAAATAAAATGAACAGTCGACACGAAATGACAAATGTCATATAAACTGACAGGCCATGTACGTTACTCAACTGTACTATTGCGTGAAAAATATTTTAGTTTAAGATCCAAGTTCAGAAGTTTATCGCACTTAATGTCATGTACGGTCTACGTCTAATAAGATCGAATAAATCATAAACAAATGAGATTTCAAAATCTTATTGATATAAATCATGCGTGTTTGTAACGATGAATTATTCTACACAAACTCATTACTTTAGAGAATACGTCTCATTTACTGTGATACAATTACCATACACAGAAGTTGGTAATAGACATGTCAACTATTCTTCGAATCTTACAAATAGCACTGAGAGTCTTCATTCGACGGACGTCCTAAGCAAGGAATCCACGATTTGTTACTTTAATTTCACTTCCGAATGCATTGTACTAGTGACTAGTTGGTAATAATAGAAAAGAAAAATGCAAATTGAACACTTCTTAGTTTTGGAAAGGACAGTTTTGCAACATCGATTAATCTTCATTAGTAATTCCAACCACGTACGGACAACAACGATGAGAATACTGGGAACCGAAAACTTTTAAAAAATCGTCCACAACGAGGAATTTTCTTGCGCTTTCTTGGGCTCATCAGCTTTTCGAGTTCAACGACTTTGCTCAGGTTTCTTACGTACTGGTTGAAAACAAAGGAACAAGAAGAAAAGTCGACAGCTTGCGTCCTAATTACAACCGACGTGGTAACAAAGTGAATTTCAACGTTTGTTTTTTCTACCGACGCGTTTCTTCATTGACTCGACAATCTAGAATTAAATAACCTTCTACTCAGCATTGTGAATGGGAATCGTGCGCAAGGAGCAAACCCATATAATAATCACTGCTTACATGACTGTAGAATAATTTAAAACGGTCGCCGAGCTTGATATTCAAAGACCGATTCAATTCAAAATCATGTACACGTACAAGTCGTGCAATGAATAAAGAAAATTTTTCTACCAAGGAACAGATTCGCTTTTCTATGAATAACACCATTTACTTTCATTCTACAATTTTCACAAGAGTTATGAAAGAAATATATTTGATTAAAATTGTATCATAATAATCATCTACCGACAAGTTTATATTAAAGCAATTGCATCTAGAATTGAATTACAAAAGTCAACAATTGTTCCATAACAAATCAATAAACAATTGTTCCACGCTCAATCTGTTTAATTGTTTCATTAAAACGGAAATAGTATTGTTACGCTATAACAATTTTCAGTTTTCTCTAAAGTAACAAGTTGCATGTTTTTTCATTTAGCTTTCTATTTTATATCATAAATAAAGCCTGTTTTGAATGAACAATAAAGATACAGAATAAAGCAATGAAGGACAGTGCTCTTAAATACAGGACGCATAGACGCTATGGATATTCCATTCACTGGGCGGATCTTTTAAGGGGAGCGAGAACGCAGTAGTATAAGTAGCTTTTTAAACTGGCGCAAGGCAGTGAGCGGCGACCACAACTACATACCTCGTTTCAGTGTCACGAAGAAACAATCGTACGCATGCATGCATGCACCTCAGTCAACGTACGATAAAGAAATGATAATCGAATATTCTACTATAATTACCAAGTAAATAAAATGAACAGTCGACACGAAATGACAAATGTCATATAAACTGACAGGCCATGTACGTTACTCAACTGTACTATTGCGTGAAAAATATTTTAGTTTAAGATCCAAGTTCAGAAGTTTATCGCACTTAATGTCATGTACGGTCTACGTCTAATAAGATCGAATAAATCATAAACAAATGAGATTTCAAAATCTTATTGATATAAATCATGCGTGTTTGTAACGATGAATTATTCTACACAAACTCATTACTTTAGAGAATACGTCTCATTTACTGTGATACAATTACCATACACAGAAGTTGGTAATAGACATGTCAACTATTCTTCGAATCTTACAAATAGCACTGAGAGTCTTCATTCGACGGACGTCCTAAGCAAGGAATCCACGATTTGTTACTTTAATTTCACTTCCGAATGCATTGTTTGGATAATATTCATTATTTAAAATTCCTACTCGACAATTCTTTCCAGTTATTTGAAAATCACAGACATATTCAGAAGCTAATATACCAATATAATTTTCATTGTATAAAAACTTTTCGAAGAAATCATAATTTTCTAGTTGTGTAACTATTGACAGAAACGGTGAAATGACACGATGAACAGAAAAACAATAAAATATTACAAGGATAACTATTTAATCTGACAAGTAAGCGTAACATCGCACACGTCTCGAAAGTCATGGTTGTCATATCGGAGAACAACGTTCTACTACCCCATCCCGAGACGTGTACACAGGAGAAACATCGAGGGAAACGATGCAGACCGGCAAACACTCAACGTGGAATCCTCTTATCCAAACAAAGCAACCCTGAGGTGTACAACGTATACACACGTCTCACACGTTAAGCGGTCGAGCAGTATTCCGTTGTGTTGGTGTTGCGGTAACACAGCGCGAACTTTATCCCGAATCATGTCTCTCTCTTTTCGCATCTCGTTTTCCATCTCGACGCGACGCAGTGTACGCGCTATCAGAGTGACAAAGAGGAACGTACAGCTGGCTCCGAAAACCGCGAGCGTTGTTTTCTTCGCGAATACGACGACCACGCGCGTATATTTGTGTGTACACATGTATATACATATATATATACTATACGTACGAGAGCATTTAACGTACTCACCTGGTCGGGCCGACCCAAGGTCAGGTCACTAGGCCGCGGACGCACACACGGTGGTTGCTTATCTCCAAGACTCCGTCATTGACGGTGCTCCGTCTCGATGATAGTCGCACCTCTGGCGTCGTGTACGTATATTTAATCACCTACATTCGCACTCTCAGCCCAGGGTGCTTGAACGGAGCTTGAGCACAATAACAACGATCACGGGAGACTTGTACGACTTGCCCTTTCACTCGTCGGGTCAAACACAGAAACGAATGTTCACGCGTCTTACTTGCGACTACCGACGAGGAACGCGAACAGAGAAAATGTTATCAGCGGAATTGGTCGAAGGACAAGGATCGTGCACGCGTCCGTGTGTACGTGCGTTTCAGTGAATCGCGTAGAACAGAGCCAGGAATACAAGAGGGTCGACCTGGCCTCTCCGAGCCTCGCTAAAGAACTGGCGGGCTCGTGCGCTCGCACGCGCACGCACCCACGCCTCCCCACCATCCCCACCACCACGGTTACGCGACACCTATCTGCTCCACCGTAAACCCTCGCTACATCTTCCCCTACTTTAGCTCCCTTCTCCACGTCGTGCCCCGACGGTCCAACCACCCCTACGCTCTTCTCATACACGAGTACATACATATATGTATACGTTCACATAATAGAGGGAGCGCGGAAAATTCAAAGACGAGAGTTAATTATAATAGCTTGGACGAGAGACTAACTTACTTAGTGGAGCTGGTTCACCTACGTACTCTCGTTCATTTTGCCACAGTTTTTCTCTTGCGTCACAGTGCGCGAGTTCCTGTAAAAAAATTATTTGTTTGTTTATATTAAGATTTTTCTCATGCGTACAGAACAGAGTAAATATGTACATAAAACTGTGGATCAAAGCGTTTTATGCAATTTCTAAAGAAGAAAAATAGTAATGAAAGGACCAAGTACTTATTAAGTTTTGACAAAGATGATATGAAACAGCTTCAATTCTAGTTCGTTAGTGCAACCGGTTTAATACGGGTATTCATACATAATAGCGTGGAAAATTGAAAGATGACGCGTAATTTTAGCGCTTTAAACTGAGACCCGCCAAGACTGCTTTGCTCGGTTTGAACGTCGTTTGATCTTCGATTTATTTCCGCGAAGTTAAAAGAAATGCTTCATTACAAAGACGCAGTGCACCCAATTGCATTATACCTAGACTGAAAAGCTTGATTCGGGATTGACCAGTGAACGCACAAATTACACGATCAATTTCACACGACTACAGATTTGAGTTATCCATGATACGATTAACTCTTCGCGTATAGACTAATTGCTTTGCTCCGATGTGTGCGATCTTTTCATATATAAACTTCGATCAAAAGCATATAAATTGAAAATTTAATTATTCGTCAACACTGTGCATTTCCTCTTAGTATTATAAGTAAACTGCAGATTTTATGCGTCTATAGAAAAATTGAAATATACAACAAATATTGTTTATTATTAGAAACATTAATTATGAGAAATAAATCTAAAATATTTCGTTCTTATCACAGATAAAACATTATGAAATGCTTAAGTTTCAAAGATAAAATGATGTAGAAGAATTCAAAAATTGTTTCCTGTTCCTAAAGTGATCCAGTTATAAATTTACGAAAACAGATGATATGGAACAGATGTTTTTTAATCGCACATCGCAATCATGTGTTTCCGCATTTGTTATGTAGATGCGGTAGTGCTCGATTCAGCATGCATTTCTAGAATTCTCATGGTATACATCTATACGTGCGGACCCGGGTTCACCGCAGCGTACGTGATTATTATCAAATAGAACGTGAAATGCATGTGGTTTCTAGGAAAAAGACGATTTGATATATGATTGATTTAACAGTTTCCTTAGCAAATTCGCGAATGATCATATACATAAATATATTAAACAATGAATATTTCAAGTGACAATGTATGTTCGATACAGAACTACGCACAACGTTTAAAATAAAATACGACATACCCTGGGCAATTTCGTTCACGTTTAGATCCGTTCATTAAGTGTAATCCAAGATAATTGACTTTCCGCGCACGCGATCTTTTTCATTAATAGACAATAGTTGCAATTACGTATATACTTTTTCTATGTACATCATGTAGATAGGTTTATTGATTCTACATTCAGAAAAATCATTGACATTCACGATGCCACGGTGAGTCTCCGAACTGCGAGACTATGCTTAACTAAAAGTATTATTCTGTAAACATTACAGTTCAATATTGGTTCGACAACCATTCTAGACATTTATAAGCACCATAACAACATTACGTGACGTTCCTATTTTGGATACCAGAACCAGCCAAAACGCGATCTACGTAGATTCGTTCATACGTAATACACATGCAGATACATACATATGTATATCTCCTAAAAAGGATTGGAAGGTGCGATACACCACGGCGCCACAGCATAGAGCAGCTAGCCGCGACTTCATTCCTCACAGCGTAACGCGAATCGATAAACGGCGACTATCACGCAACACACTAGCCCATCCTCGGCAACCACCCCAAACTCGACGACCGGGTGCACCATTCCCCGGATCACCCAGATCATACGATATCTGTAGGCTACACAGTGTTATCGTTAAAGTAGACAGAGCTTTTGGCACACCTGTATGATGACAACATTTAAGTATCTCCTCTTTCCAAAGCGTTCAATCATTTAACAATCTTATTTGGACGTACAATTCTTTTAAAAATTGCAGAATTTTAGCGATTCTATCGATTCCAAAATATTGGGTTGAATGAATTCTGAGATTATAGGAACTGAACAGAGATTTGAATACATCCAACTTGAATAACGATCTAGCATCGCCTCTCTTCTTTCTACTACGCACATTCACTTAATTAGTTAGTTAGTTAGTAATCTGATTTTTTTCACGCTCGCAATCAGCTGATAGGTCCCAAATAATTTCGTATTTTATCTATTCTTTATACTACCCCTTAAATTTTTATACATATATTATGTATGTCTCGATAGTGTTCTTTTATAATAGATCGCACATTGTAATATCGAGTTTTATTCTGGTAAAATATTCATTTACTGGAAAGTAAGTATATAATTTAATATACGAAATGATTGTTTGTTTCAAGGAGAAAAGAAAACCAACAAAAATTGAGATCACCCTAAATGTACGGAATGCGAAGAACGTGACAGATTTAATGAAAGAGAGAATCCATTTGAAGTAAGTATCCGAGTACCCGGAAACGAGGTTACTCTGGATCGTATGCAATAGCGGTGAATGCGAACCATTATCATTTGCATTCATAATAGTTGGAAAGTACTTAGACATAATCTGTACTTTAGATAATATACAATGCATACGTTCGTATCTTAGACATGTCATAGATAAGAACAATTGTTCTCTATTAACATGGGTAACCTAATTCAAAATGCAAACCGTATCCCTTACTATAAGATCATTTGAAACGCGTAAATGATGTAACTGCTATTCTGCTTTTCTGCTGAAAGCGTTTTATTCCTTTTAACTCATATAAAGATTAACCAAGCGTTACATACCGAGGAAGACTTTCAATGAAAAAAGGAACATGAGTTGCTTTTCAATAAATTTTCATATTTGAAACGTTATGTAATTAATGAAAAAGATCTTACTATGTTTTTTCTTCAAAAGGGCGTAGACCTTCGATGGAGTAACACCGAACGTCATTTTGAACTAATGAAGACTCACCAAGACTCACGATGCGAGACTCGCGAGGCTAGTCGAAAGTTTGGCGCGAAAACGCAGTGCATATATAAGAAAAGTGGCGGACTAGATGGCATCAGTGTCGCAGGGAAAACAGAAACCCAAACCGGTCATGGAGGCTAGTTAACGACTGTGCGCCGCGCTTGCGAATAGTAATTTCACCGAGAAGTTGTGATTATTTACGCGGACGCGATAGAATCGACAGAGTTGTTCGCCGGTTTAAACGAAAATGGGTGCATACTTGTCAGAACCGATTACAAAGAAAGTGTCGAGCGACGAGGTAGGAAAAAGTGTTGCATTCGGCGCGAGTTCCATGCAAGGCTGGCGAATTAGTCAAGAGGTAAGCTGAAACCCTCGAGCGGCCAGTGCACCGTTACCCAGTTTCGTTTCGGTCAGAGAACGGTTTGCCGGTTCACCGTTTCGCCAGGGTATTACGACATTCGTCTTGATCTATTGGAAATATACAATCCATCTACGTTCCGAAGCGCGAAATTCAGTCTATTCGATTCGAGAATGGCAAATATACTGTGCTGATAGTAATAAGAGTGTGTCCCATCATTTCGCGTGTGAACAAAACAGTACTATTGCAAAATTAAGAATATTCACTGTCACGGTTCAAAGTTACATCCGAAATGAAAGTTCTTTCACTCTGCAAAAATTAGTAGGTTCGTGTACAACTAACGATTTGTTATTGTTTCGTATAACTTTAACAATGTTGTAAATTTTCCTCTTCAGGAACAGAGAAATAAAGCAATGTAAAACTCGTTATGTACGGGCAGTTATATTCGGTATTAAGTTATTAAATTAATTGTGCACTAATTGTCTTTTTACAACATATTGTGATAAATTAAGAATTTTATAAAATACTCTATAGATGATTAAATTTTATGTTTTTGCGAAATAATGTGATTTATTATACGCAATCCTGTAATAGGTATCCTGTTTATCGAAAATATGTTTATTTACGAACGATTATAATATCAATCTATATGTCAATAAAGTAGGAAATAACCTTACTTGTACAATATGCCTGACCTGAGAATATTCCCAATATTCTAACATTTTATCTGTACGTCTATAATTTAATTCTATATTTGTAGGATGCACATAATTGTTGCATAGAGTTTGATGATAATGTTTCATTATTCGCTGTATATGATGGCCATGGTGGTCACGAAGTAGCAACTTATTGTGCGAGTAATCTCCCGGAGTTCATTAAACAAACTGAAGCATATAAGAAAGGCGAGATCAGGCAGGCCTTAATTGATGCCTTCTTAGGCTTCGATGCTACACTTGAAAAACCTGAGGTAGTTAGTATCCTCAAGGAACTTGCAGGAACTTCTACTGCAGACAAGAAACAGGATGATGTAAACGAATCTGGTAAGTCTATTTTTCTATTTAAAATATCATTTGTGTTCACATATTTACATTATGTACACAGATGAAGAAGAAAATGTTAACAATCTATGTATGGAAGCAACAATGCCATTGGAAGAAGTAATGGCAAAATATCAATCAGAGTCAAATCCTACATTAAAAAATATGAAAAATGAAACTTGCAATAAACGTCCATGTTCTGCAAGTCCTTATGTACATGGTAGAAGAGGTAGAGAAAAGGCGAGCTCTTCATCTGGTGCAGGATGCTCATCGTCTTCATCGTCATGGAATACAAACGAAACTGACGTGAGCAGTTCTAGCCAACCATGTGGGTCGACTTTATCTAGTACAATGGAAAGAAAAGACTCTGAATGCCCTGGAAGCAATGAAGCTGAACAAGTTCTTGATTCGACTACAAGTAATGGGAATGCGCATGCATCTCCACCAGTAGAATCAACAGCAGATGTAGAAGCCACAAAAGCTGCAGACATGCCTGACAGTTCTGAAGATGTAAACACAAAAGTTACAAGTCCCGGAAAAATTACATGTACACAGTCGAACGAAAACGAGGTGGAATTAAACGGTGGAGAATCTAAGCGAATTGAAGACGCAGATAGTAGTAAAGGTGGAGGCGATAATGTATCGAGCAGTTCGTGTACTCCAGTAGAAAATGGCGATGCAGGACAACAGGAACGAATAACCAGTACGGGCAGAAGAAGAATCACGCCTGTTACTTTATATCGTACTCTCTTGAAAAAGGATAATGAGGACTCCGAAGATGATGACGACGATGATGAGAACGATGAAACATTCGATGGAGTTCCAGAAAGGTAGAAATCAGTAAAGTAACAGCTTTTTTTTTAATTATGATACAAGTGTACATTTTATTTTTGTTATTATAGTTTTAGCGACGAAGATGACATGGAAGACGTTGATGAAGATGAAAGTGATGAGGATGAAGATGAGGAAGATGAAGATGGGGATGGTAATATTGATGATAATGAAGACGATGATGATGATAATGAAGGTCTTATGATGGACACAGAAGAGGTATTATACTTTCTAAAAATGTACACAAAAACATCATTTATTAACAGTAAAAATATATAAATTCAATTTATACAGCCAGGATATGACAGCGGATGCACTGCAGTCGTTGCAGTGTTAAAAGGCAACGAATTATATGTGGCAAACGCTGGTGATTCCCGTTGCGTTTTATGTAGAGATGGTCAAGCTGTTGAGCTTAGTTTAGATCACAAGCCTGAAGACGAACCAGAAATGGAACGCATAGTTAAAGCTGGTGGAAAAGTTACAGCCGATGGTAGAGTGAATGGTGGTCTTAATCTATCGAGGGCGCTCGGGGACCATGCTTACAAACAAAATGCGGATTTACCGCCTCAAGAGCAAATGATATCCGCACTTCCAGATGTGAGGCACACCACAATCGATCCCGAAAAAGATGAGTTCATGATACTCGCTTGCGATGGTATTTGGAACTTCATGTCGAGTCAAGACGTCATACAATTTATTCGTTCCCGTTTGCATTACAACAAATTATCAAAAATTTGTGAAGAGGTATGGAACATTTTGATAAATTCTTCTTTGCTCCCATATAAGCTCCTAATGAAAGTTACTGATATATAAATGTTGCAGCTTTTCGACTATTGTCTTGCACCTGATACCTGTGGGGACGGTACAGGATGCGACAACATGACGGCTGTAATAGTACGATTCAATCCAACAGCCGATACCGTAACAAACAGCACTGTAGCTGAAGTATGTACTGTTCAAAGACCATTATCTATGTCTGACCATGCGGAAGAGCGAAACGAGTGTATTATGCAGGAAGAGGCCATGAAGTCTTGTAAACGTCTTAAAACCGAAGCGACCATGTGAGGATTGTGTTAAATGTTATGAAACTGTTATAACCTCTGGAAACAGATGAGTGAATGTGAATTTATGTAAAATTCTGTAATTCTATAGAACTATGAATTTCGAACGGATACTCGATAGTGATCGATACCAGTTACGTCAGATAATATGTAAAGTATGTTAGTGCTGGCTATTGGTGGCAGACTGATGAATTGGAGCATATGAGGATGATATTTTTGCTGTAATCATGTTTTGGTATGGATAAATACTGCTTTACCGCATTGAATGAAAAGCCGATAATTTTCAACAATATCATTCTACACAGTTTCATTCTATCTTATTAACAGTGTACTATACGCGGTCTAACATTTTGATATGTACAAAATATATAAGACAGTCATATAAATATAATTCTGTACAATTAACGAAATAATACTTGACTTTATAAGTCTATGGTAATGATAAGGTAGGTGATAAGTATAAATAAAATCAGTCTAAAATCATTTACTAAGTCAGAGCCTTATAAGATTTCACAAATAGCGTAAGGTACCATAACGATTAAATTTAAAATACACTTTTTAAGTTCTAAATTGGTTTTTAATATTTGACATTTAAGTATCTTCAATTATTTCTTACTTTTACTAAATAGAACTTAATATTAAATCATCCCATTTGCTCCATTTAACATTAATAAAATATACTCGGAGTTTTTAGATAACATCCATAGTGGATATGTAATTGTACATATTTATAAATTTAGATTATAGGATTTATATTTGTAATTCAACACGATACCATTTCTTATTTTTACGAAATAAAGTTTATTTTTGAATTCCTGGGTATAGTGGTTGAATGGATGGGTGTGCGAGTAGTCTCAAATGTGTAAACTGTATGAAGATAATTGCGTGTCACGTGTTGCTAATTTGTGATCATATACTAAAATTATTGTTAAAGGGGTACGTTCAGTGTTATGGAATACTATTTACTTAAAATATTTTAAATCTTTCTTTTTAATCTCTCACACCATCGGACATTCTGTAAATTTTTAACAATTTAAAAACAGTATTGATAAAAAAAAACAATAAGATTGTAAATTAAACTTAAAGATATTTAAACACACAAACAATTTGATGTATATTGAAAGACAAACTACTTAATCATAAGGAGTATGTAAGATGAAAGTGGAAAAATGATTTAAATTATTTATTTTTAAAAGACACACTTAGTGGAAATTATTATATTTACGTCATGTGCTTACACAGTTTCTCGTCTTATATGACTAATAAAAATTCGTTTTACTACATAATTACATAAATAAGAATCATCTGAAACGACTAAACTGTAGGAACATGTTTGCAACTGTTTTTCTTACAATTTCTCATTACCATTTATTCGATCATAACATAAACACACAACACAAGCAACGATTGTCTATTTGCAAAACTTACAAAGCTTGTATTCACTAAATTAATATAGTTCTTAGATAATTAATCAATTGGTCACCAGCAAAGTTTCTAAGATTGCTTCGAGTTTTGTACTGTTATCCACATTTATATATTTGCTCATATGTAATTGCGGCTGTTAGTAAGCGATAGTTATATGAAAAAAAACCTTTACTATGAAAGAAAAGCAATTATAACTTTTACAAAAAAACAAATAACATTGTCAAAATGTTAAGTAGTACATAAATATAAATATTATAGAAACCATATGTAGGATGATTCAGGACTACTGATGTGCCTTTCTTATTCAGGGGTTGAAAACCTTCGAAATATGTGTGTACATTTGATGCCGTCTAATTAAGAAGGATTTAAACCCCGACACTATCTTAATTGCAAACTTCATCATAAACTCATGTATAAATATCTTGTTTCATAATATATGTCGCTCTAATTATTCGCTCTCACTTTACTTACACTCCTTATGGAAACATATAATCGAACATTGGATAACTGTTCAATAAAAATACTTAAAAAGCTTCAGCATACGAAATTAATACTTTAGTTCACCGATAACTGTTCGATAGTTTCTAACTGTTCTATTTCGATTTTTTTTAAGGAATCGTATTGTATACGAAGCCTCTCAAGTTCCATAGACTTCTCGACAATCTGTGCCTGTAATTAACATATATTTTATTTAACTATGCTCAGTAATGTAATATATTAAATATACATTTATCTAGCAATCCGATAAGTTTGTACAATTTTATAGAATTAGTAGTAGAATATAGAGTTAGTAGAATTAGTATTTTTATAGAATCAACCTGAATTTGTTGCTTCTGAGCATCCCTTTCTTTCGTAACTGAGCGAAGTAAATTTCGAGTTCCAATAGTTTTCATTTTCTCTTTCTCTACTTTATTTGCCATTTGATCTATCATTTGAATAAATTCTTCGGCGTTCGTGTGGAACTCAGTAATTTCTGACGAATAAATGTAATTAGCATAATAGCTTTATTTTCTGACATAATTACGTACGCAAATGTATTATTACATATGTATTTACGAAAATAGTATTTTTCATAAGTAAATTAGTTTCGACCAAAAAGGCGGTCATATATAATAATGGAGATTAGCTATTAGATTAATCAGACGTTAAAAATACTATTTTTAATGCGAATACTTTAATGGAGCCCATTTTATAATAAAGAAATTTCGAATTATCAAATAATTCGATCCTTGTAAAACCCTGATCAAAATTTTGCTCAAAGTCGGCAATATAGATGGCAGCAATTATACATATGTGCTATCTATAAGAAGCAAGGATGTGCGAGTGCGAGCCATTCATTCATACCATTTGTTTTACTCGGGGTACATTTAATAATCTTTGAAACACCACGAAGAATAAAAAACGTAACAAGGTAAGTGTATTGATAAATCTCGTGGGAATTCGTTCTTAATGAAATTATATGCGTTAAGAGAGTAAATACGCATTAATACTCCGTGTGACTGTAACCGTTCCTATGAAACTTACTCGAAATGAAATTCTGACATTCCTCTTTAAGCTTATTCGTTTGATTTGCCACCTCCGGTTCTAGTACACGAATTTTGCTTAAATCATCGATGTAAATTCCATACTTTGCTAACGGATCAGCCATTTTCTTAAATAAACAAACGATCGACTCGTAGATAGTCGCGCCTGCGCGTACTTGAATTAGTCTTCGTCTCTTCGTGCTAGTCACTCGTCAAAATGGGAGTACGATAGGGTGTATTTTTTTTCGTTGAGTCGCAAGACACAAAACAGTAGTGAGAATTGTGCTATTCAACGAGACTCGTTGCTCGTAACATTTAAGATGAAACAAATAAATGTCATATAAAATATTTTTACGTTAATAATCATATGTCGCTTGCACTGTCGTTCAAAAATCAACGCTCCGTTCTTTATCTGTTAACAATTTGGATTTTGACGTTTAGAAATCGATATCATTTTTGTTATTCAAATATTTATTGACATCAATATTGAACGCTGCGATATATTACCGTTATGTCTGGAAATCATAAAGCGGATATTAAGTATCCGTCGGAGTACGTCAAGCTCAATATCGGCGGTTCCCTACATTACACTACTTTAGGCACACTACAAAAGCATGACACTATGCTGCGTGCTATGTTTAGTGGCCGCATGGAAATTCTCACAGATCCTGAAGGTGAAAATCTTTATAACAGTTTAAGTTTATCTTAATTATGCTTGAATAATTTTTCAGACAATCATATATATTTTTTAAGTTTCTCTTGAGATTTTCTATTCCCATGTATCCTTAAAGTCGCTGCCACTACATCTCAGTTATTCAATTCACAGGTTGGATATTAATAGATAGGTGTGGAAAGCATTTTGGAACAATTTTAAATTTCTTAAGAGACGGTTCTGTTCCATTACCAGAAAGTACTACAGAGATGGCTGAATTATTGGCAGAAGCAAAGTATTATTGCATTAGTGAACTAGTGGAATCCTGTGAACAAGCGCTTCAGAAAAAAGAGAGGGAAGCTGAACCTATTTGTAGAATTCCACTTATCACTTCTCCAAAGGAAGAACAATTGTTAATTAGCAGTACTACTAAGCCTGTAGTGAAACTGCTTGTTAATAGGCATAATAACAAATATTCGTATACAAGGTGATAATACTAGTTTCATAAAAATCACAGTACACAATGAAGTAAAGAATGAATAAACATAAAAAGCCTTGTTTTTACAGTACATCAGACGACAATCTGTTAAAAAATATAGAATTGTTTGATAAAATGTCCCTTAATTTTGGTCATAGAGTATTGTTTATTAAAGATGTAATTGGCTCTAGTGAAATTTGTTGTTGGACATTTTATGGTCATGGTCGAAAAGTAGCAGAAGTCTGTTGTCACTCTATTGTTTATGCAACTGACAAGAAGCACACAAAGGTAATGTCAATTGTGTGCATGATCATAAATGTGCATGGATCAGCATCTTGAATACAAAGGAGAATAAAGATTTGATTTATAATAGGTTGAATTCCCAGAAGCCAGAATTTATGAAGAGACATTAAACATTTTGTTGTATGAACATCGAAATGGTCCCAATCAGGAATTGATGCAAGCAACGTCGTCGCGTGGCGCATCGGTCAGTGGTGCACCACCTTGCACATCAGACGAAGAAGAGGGTGAGCGCTCAGGCTTGGCTCGGCTTCGCTTCAGCAAACAAAACTGACCCACCCATACCTCCGTTAAAACACGAGCCAATATGAAGTAAGATGAGTTGAAAAGGATGCATAAACAAAATTTCATTTTTGTACATATACATATATATGCGCGCACGCCTATGCATCTACAGACGTGCAACTGTCTACATTATAGATGCATATATGTATGCGACCCTTTATACTATAAAAAGTGAACAATATCATTTCAATTGATTTCATAGTAAAGCGTCATGTTAAGTTTCGCATCACAATTTTATACTTTCTCAGTACATATCTATATATCCTGATTATTAGTCACAAATTGAAAATGATTTAATTCATTATTATTTAACATATTTCCTTTGAAATTATTCAGATTATAGGCTACAGAGATATAAAAGTAGATCATCGATCAAATATAAAAATTTGATTGTTTTTAAGAAAATGAGGATACGAAGACTATATGTTGTGCCAAATGTTTATGTCAGAGATAAAGGAAAGTGGAGGTTGCCATTCTGTGACTGATGGAATTAATTGCTATATAGTAAACAACTCCATAACAACTTTTAAGCAGTTATTTAGAATTTTAAATTGTGTATAAAATGTGCGCAACAAATGCCTGTATTGCTACTTATATTACAAGTACAATTATTATTGCTACGATTATTAATTTCGTATTTTTTTACGAAGCAAAGTCTATAATAAACAATGCATTTGCTTACATAATTCAATTGAAAAGTTCTACCAAATTGCTTAAAGGGTGATGTAGAGTTGACACTGCCAGTAAGATGAGTTTAAACTATAATTGGTTTTCCGATTTTTAAACTAATTAAATATGGATCTATTATGGGCAGGAATTATTTTATACATCATTCCAAAATATAATGCATATTGATGTTTTTTATTTAAAGCTCTAATTTATGAAAATAAGTACACTACAATTAAATGAATGCTACAAATTATTCTCTTTTAATGTGATACAAACTCCTACACGTAATAAAAGGGACCATGTATATTTCAATTTCATATACCTACAATTAGTAGGGGAATTTTCATTATATTATCCTCTAATTACTGAATTGTTGAGTTAAGAACTCATATTTTATTCTTCCGAATACAAGACAATATTTACATAAATGTATGAAAAATTAAAGAGATTTTCATAACAGGAAAAACATATTCGAAAATGACTATGGTAGTTGTAGTATAGGATATATGTTACTGTAATCAATTTTGGAAGTTGTTGAGTGTCTTGAAGCGTCAGTGTTCACGTAAATTTTATTAGTTACACTTAAGGTGGGATCCGAAACATCAGGATACCGCGGTTGGGATAAGCACATGAAAGTTACCTTTCACAGGTGCTGGCCTGGATGGCCGCGACCAGGGATCGGTGAACCCGGGACCGCCGGAATACGAGCCCCATACGCAACCATCAGAGCTACCGCGGCTCCCTAAAAAAATACTATACTTTTATATAAATGAAATCTCGAAATTGTAAATAACTAACGTGATATACACAAACATAATTCATATTTATTATAAATTGCTGTAGTTGATAGAGAATTACATAATATGTAAATTTCTCTAAATGAAATATATATTATGTTAATCAGACATAATTGTTTCAAAATTTTCAATCTTACAACGAAATCACGAATAATTCCAACTTCCTTCACTGAAATCGACATGATAGTCCGATTTTTTAGAAAAAAGTAAAGAAATAGGATGATGAAGGGAAACGTACATATGTACATTGAATTTGCTGTGTTTGTGTGTATGCATATTTTTATTTTGACCATTTTAAATCAACACACAAGGATATATGATCACTTGGAGATACCACCGATGGGAGACCAGTATACGCGGTAAGTTCTTCTTCACTTGGCATTGGTATGACTTGTTCAACTTTTAAGTGATCGGTTTGATAAAATATATAATCCAAACAACCAGAAAAGGTAGCTGTATAATTTGTATATTTTGGAGTACCACAAGCACTAGCCAAGTTCAAATCATGTTTAATAGATACATTCTTCACATGTTCTTGCACAGGACCTGTTGTAACAAAAATGTTTCACATAAATTTAAACGTTACACGTTACTACTAAGAATAGTAAAAAAATAACCAACTGGTGGTCCAATCGCAGTAGTCCTCAGGTATAAATTTCTGAGTCATTAGTTCATAAACTCCGTCTGCTGGTGTACTATTAAAGTCGCCGCAATATAAAATACTAACGTTGCAGCTGGGATTCTAAAAGATTCAATACCTTTTTGAATGAAATATATTCAACATGTACATAATAATTTAATTTTCGATAAACATTTACCTCTTCTTTCATTTTTTTGGCAAATGAATGTAAATACGCTAAGCCATAATACGATTGTAACAAACGTATATGATCCGCATCCGGCTTGAAATACAAGTGTGTATTCCCGATAATTAATATTTCAGGATTTTCTTTAGATTGCAGTGCTATCATCTATAATGTATCAAGGATTATTACAAATTATAAAAAAAGTGGTTATACTTAACAGTATGCAATTTACTTTAGTACCTGAATAATTGTGTTTCTGTTCATAAAGATTTCTTTGACATTGGTATTTTCAATTTTAGACCAAAGAGTATTAAATTTTTCTAGATTTATACCTTGCGACATAACGCTATAATTACAGATCAGTTTGTTGAACCTTTCTCGGTTGTAAAATATTGCCAGGCCTTCACGCATGTCGTTCTTTAGATTAAGAACGCCATCATAATTCAATTCATTTAATGACATCATCAAATCATTTGTATAAACCTTGCTGTCCACTTCTTGTAGACATATTATATCAGAATTAAATCCTACAGAAATGTATTATTATTAATCTATCTTCTTTCATTGTATAATAAAATAATAAATATGCAGTACTGATTATGAAAAATAAAAAATAGTATTAAGAAAATACCTATCAGTTCCTTAAGAATTAATAATTTTCTGTAATCCATAGATAATGCATACTGAGGGCAGTATGGATACAAGGTATCCTTGGATAAAGAGGTTTCTGAATATAAATTGGCTAATATATTGTAGGATGTTACTCTGAAACTAAAATATCACTTTTCTAGCATTCTTCCTCCTACATAAATTTTATTTCTTACATAGATATTTAGAAGTTAATGTTACATACCTTTTACCAGACAATTTCTCATTAGTAAATGCATGTCTGGTATCAAAAGGGCATGGACCAGGCCCAATCTGTACTATATCATTTGATACAATCTCTACTATAGGCCCACATTGTGTATTATTTCTGGGTACACAAGATACTTTTAATCTATGTCCCAAGTCAGATTTCTTAGGAAGATACAAGAAACCTTCTCCCACGTGTATCCAGTCTCTTGTTTTATTTTTATACCAATTGAAAGTCGATTTTGTTTTATCTATATTTGTTCCTTCCAATTTGGAAGGGTAAGTTGGAAAATCAATCAAGATACTTGAAGGTAGTTCTATTTTAGTGATAAAGGGTACATTTTGCTTCAATACATATTCTGTATCAAAAATAATTAATTTTACATCTGATGAACTTTCTAAAATTGACTTACAAGGTAGTTCACCATTAAGAACAACTTGATCTTTTACAAATCTGATCCTATTGTTTTCAACATTGTTTTCTGGGATTTCTACAGGAGTTTCGTCTTTCTTCTGTCTTTTTTTCTTTCGATTAACTTTTTTCATCAGAAAGTTGCTAATGTTTTTATCAATTCTCTGAAGAAAATTATTTATTGGCTCGTCCACTTGCCTCTCAAAATTAAAGTTCCTGTCAATGTTTAATTCAGGATTTGCATAACGAAGCGACATCTCAAACTTTTTGCTTCCTTCCTCGTAAAGTACAATAGCTTCATTCATTTTTAATCGGAACACTGCTTGCGAGTAACGTTTAAAAAGATGTGGATGTATCTTCGAAAGTGGTGCAAAGGGTGTTAAACACTTTAAATAAAAACTACGCATTAATATTGACATTTTACAGGAACATGATTTCTACACGTTTAGACGATCTTCTTGGCTTCACGCGTCAAATGAAATATTTAATGTACGTTAATAAATAGTACATGTGCTAAACCACTTAACCTCAACTACCAAACTCTTTCTTCTTTACGACGAATAACATGTTCACACTTACACGCTCTTCACACTCACGAATGACTCACACTGTTCACAATTCGAGATTGATAGAGCGCCATCTGACAAACATATTTGTGTGATTAAATGTTATCGAAATTCACAAAAGCAGAAAGTACTTAATTTCCTCTCTGGTAAAAGTTATTAATCGTTCTAGAGATGAACTTGTGTAAAATCATACAGGTATGTTTCTAAAATTATTATGGTTTAATGTATATTTAGATGTATTCATATGAAAAACGTAGGCGACAATAATGTAACGCGATATGATCAACACAATTATTGCATTACTAATACATGTTTAATAAGGTTGATATTGATATTTCTAATAATAAGATTAGTACTAGTTCCGATAAAATGAAGTAATTCTTTACTTTCACTAATTAAGATGTAGTACTTTTAAATCAATATAATCCTAAGATATTTCTAAAATTTTGATCACTATGTTTCGTCCATACATAAAAACACACAATGCATATGAAAAGTGTGATAAAATTACAGTACGGTAGATTAAACTACAAAGTGAAATGGACGCGAGAAAGCTTGAGTAATTAAGTGTATCGTGATTGAATGCAAAACGATGTTTTACATTATTTGCCAAATTGCTCAACATGCACGGTGCATCAGACCACCTGCCTTCAAGCAGATGCCGTGGTGCACAGATTTTTTATTTATTTCTTCTGCTTAATACCGAGATTACAGTAATGAGAATGTAGGACAGAGAAATTTTACTCTGCATTTGTGAACTTTTCGGCTACACGTTTACCCAGCGAATTCATTATACTACCGAAACTTTATTGACAATAATTTTTTCAATTCTATCTCAGATCCGAGAATATGCCAATAATAAATTCCAGTCATTCCTTTTTTTAATAAACGGCTGTATACGGTCAGATTCAAATTTTTTCTCGCTTACATAAGTAGTCGAAACTGGTTTTTAAACCCTCGTTTTCACTATCGCCAATTTATCGAATTGTTGCGTTTACTTTTATATGTACATTCAATGTAAAAGTCAGTTTCTTTCTCTTTCAATTTAATTAGTGCAATTAATTAAGGCAACTCTCGTTGATACTGCATTATATGACAGTAGCTCCATTCAGGCATAGTACGGTTTCAATTTTCGAATTGATTGCATTGTTTTATCGTGCGTTACACTTATTAAACAGTAACAATCACTTAGAAACTATTGATTGTACTGTTATCATTAGAGTATTTATTACGTCTCGATCGACAACAAGAATTATTCCACCGTTGCGGTACATTGTGTTGTCATCGTCGTCATGACACTTTTTTTCTGTTCCTGTGTAGGAGTCGAATAAATTATGTAAAATGCTGAGAAGCTGCGTAACAGATCATTGGGTGTCCGAACAAATGGTAATGCCGATTGTATTACAACTACGCCACGCCTTGAATTTTATTTACATCCTCTACCTTTGCATAAGGATGTATTATTTATTTTATACATCGCAAAAATTTCTTAAACTTCTCTGTTCGGGATATTTGCCTGGTCTTAACTTTGGATAAAACTATAATATATTAATCGGCTTATATGTAGTTCAAATCTGCAACTTTATAGGGGCATAAATTTTTCTTCTCGGTCACAGTCAGTCATTTTTACATTTTAATAACATTCATGTTACCGCGACACGACTATGAATTGACCAGATCCAGGCACTTACGAGAGCTGGTGTCGACTTTATCTAGAAAGGCCCACTTCATTTGAATATCGCATGATTCATTTGAGAAGCGATCATTCCTTCGAGGGAGTACTCGTCAAAGTCAAAGGTGGATCGTAAGGACATTAACGAACATTTACGAGTGGGTCAACGCTTCTTATGGTCAGCACAGGTCGAAGCAGGTTAACGGCGACCCGTTCTCGTTATTCACCTCTTCCTTTTCTCCTACTGGTGTCTATGGTGTTCGTTCTAAGACACGACCGACACTCTCTAATCGTTTACTCTTACGCAATTCAGATCCATGCTAAAACAAGCTGCTATTAATTAATCTCACGACCATTAGAGATGATCAGAGATACTAATATTAATAATGACTTTGAATAAAAAATCGTCCTTTTTATTTTTAAACAATTATATTAAAAATTTGATGATATTGTCTGTCGTCTGGTTTTATTCATAGATGCAGAAAACTTTTGTGCTGCCTATCAAAATACAGATGTATCAATTCGCGACAAAACGGTCCACAGATCGATCAGCTGATTAATGTATCCGTTGATTCGATGGTAGAAAGAAAATCCTTGCTCTAATTCTCCACTGCGGTAATACACAGTGTTTGTTCATCACGTACAACCGGTTCCAATTAATATCGTCTCGGTTGCGGTGGCTCCTGGCGTCGGTAATAAACTTCTTTCCCTTTCTCTCTCCCTCCAATGATGAACGTAAGTACGTATATAGGTACTTACATGTACGTAAGTGCAACGTGAAGTTCATCGGGTCGATACCAGCTTACTAACGTATCATCAGACACCCTCGGGTGACACGAGGGAAAAGTAATGTCTGGCCAGTCTCCTCTCTCATCTGAGAGACCGCTTCTTGCGTTTAAATTCCCGCATTAACAGAAATGCCAGAAGCATTCCCAATCTAATTTGACGCTTATCCATATCTATGTAACGTTCATTCGGAGCAAATATGTATATCTTTCACTCTCGATGATGAGAACTTCTTAACATTTACCAGGAATGCAATTTATGTCTCTTGGCCAGCAGTCTAGTAAGCCTTCTGGATCCTTTGACTATTAACCGAGATTTTGCTATCGATTTCTTCGCTTTGAATAATCCAGTCGCTTGCTAGACACACCAGAGAAATCCAGGATAATTAGAAGCGAAAGTAATGTCATCTTTAAAATACCGAATGCGTGTGCGGTTCTTTATAATCTACTTAATTTCATAGTGTAACATTTTGACCGATGTCATGAATAGAATAGATATATGAACAATTGAACAATTGAAGGGTATTAGTTTCAACGAGAACGATGATTTCACTGCGACGATCGTTTCGACAATTCCAATTTCGTTGAACAATAGTCTTCATAGAATCAATTATAATGAATAATCGTTCGTTGGCAAAGTGTCCTGTGCACCGAGTGGATAGCATTTTCAATGCTAATACATAGACTAATCCATACGTGTATATTTAGATATGCATCTCGCATGCATATGGATGCCTTTATACGTGTATTCATTAGAAGAAAGAAAGCTGGCTACCATTCATGAATTCATATTCATTCATCGAGTCACCGTTCGATAACAGATATCGTTTCGTATAATTGGACAAATCAATAATGAAAGTTAAACGCGTTAATCCATACTTAAGATTTAACTTACGAAAATTGAAACGTTCTACAGAAATACTTTTCACTTTGGCTGGATTACAATGTTTTATTATATCTATTAACTCCTTATTTTTCATTGTTTCGAAACATTTGAAATTTAATATATTTTCCATAGTAAAAGAATGTTAACTAGCAAAAGTAAAACGGCACGGTTCTCAAAGGGAAGGGTATCTTTAAGATCTCGTAAATTCTATCGTATGGTCCACTTATCTTAACATCTTCGTCCTCTCAAAGAAACGAAATTCCATCCTCACCATTTGTTCTAAGCTCGTGAACCCGTAATCCACATTTAGAACATGACACGGTTCGGTTTAATTAACTACAGCCACAATTTACAGGGTGTTAGGTACCTTTTCAGTTTTCTCAGCTTCTTCTTTCGTAACCCTTTCCCATGATCTCTCCTTTCTGCGGGCCACGGGCATTCAATAAAACACAGATCTTAATAGCTTGAAACAATTAACTCGGATGAGTGTGCTCTAGGGCTCTGAAGCTGGGCAACGCAACGGTCTTTAAGATCTTCTAGGAAGCTCACGTTTATCAAGCGGCTCTATTACCGAGTTGAATCGCCAACGTTCTACTCGCAGTCCACGTTTAATTAGTCACCACGTGGAACGTTTTATCCTGCGCTCCCTTATCAGAACAGTGACATGAGGTGGTAGAGAATCTCTATTGTTCTCGTTTAAATCACTTTTCTGAGACTATATAGTTATCTATTGAGTCATTTCAATAAAAGTAATTGGAGAACGATAGCGTGGAGAGGAAGAAACGGATTGAAATATTGCAAGTTTCCTTTTCTGGTTCAGATTAATAGTCTGACCGGTGACAGGCCGCATTAATTGAACAATCGTTGCGGTATTGAACAAATCAATTTCGTCTTAAATGAGGAATGGTCAGCAGCCAGCGGAAATAATTTATTAATTATACCATCCGTGGTAAATTGCGGCGAAAAAAGGGCATAAGTACGGGTGTCCTTTCACTCCGCGAACACCTTGACATTTTCTGAGCCATGAGACGCGATGGAAAGTCGTCAACTCACTTCTCTCACTCGTCTTCTTCAAAACGCCACCCTCCGTATCTTATTATGACGTTATATGCGTTAGATGGAGTAAAAATAATAAAAATACATATTTAGATGTCGAGGATCCAATTTGTCCAAGTTTTAATTAGGCTACAAGGATTGGAATTAAAGGAAATTACCTGACCATTTGAATCTAAGATGCAATCTCTACTACTAAATTAAGGACTGAATGTCCGATAATCTCAGATCGGTATAATTAAGTTTTCTTTATATTAGAACGTTAAAGACGTGTGCGTGTATCTAAATACACTTAGTCGTTTAATGAAATGGTATTTGCATTGCTAAATACTGTCATTACGGTCCAAGCAGGTATTTATGCAAAGACCATACAAGAGTTCCGATACTTGTACGATCTTCTGCGTATAATGTCGATATTAGAAAGTCAATGAACTCGAGCGAAATTTGACAGTGAATTATTTGTAGATCCTCAAAATGCAGATCCTGAATATTGATTATTCGTTGGGGAACAAACTTTTCCTTGGTAATAGCATGGTCCGACGTAAACTAGCAAAAATTTACGACCTATTACCGAAACATGACGACGGTTGAAGGAACGAAACCGGCTTTATGTGTCAGCCATAAAACGATTAGCACGCGTCAATACCTGCTAGATAGTTATCGTAGAATTATTCCTCATCTTTGAACGATGATTACAAAGTAACGCAACTAATTGCTTTACTAATAAGCAGTCATTTGTATCTCAAGGCTGATCAACGAAATCAACTTAAACTGATCGTAAATGTTCTCCTCGCCACGACAAAGCGACATTCTATTCGATATAATCTTTATATCACAGTTGACAGTTAGTTTCAAGAATCGCGATAACATTAAACTCGACGAACATTTATGGAACAGTAATTTCCGTTCCGAGGGCATCTCTTTTGAAGAGAGAATCTCTGTAACATTTCTGAACCAACTCGGGTATGCAAATTAAGTTGTAAATTGATTTGGTGCCGCAGTAATTCCCGAGCCGGTCATTTGTAACTGTGTAGTGGTTTGTGAATCAACAATTTGAGAACATAACTCATTCAGCCGAAACCAGAATAACTCTCTCGTTTACGAAATAAATAAATCGCAAATTAAAGAAAGTTATTAACCAGTCATAATTCAGGTTGACTCGAAACTTGCACCGTTTAGCCAGTAAAAATAGGTGAGTCTTCTCCACAACAGATGGTGAGATCATCTTGTTGATGTCGCGTATCAAGTCCCTTGGGAGAAATAACTAACGCCGTTGACAGCGGAGGAGCACGTTTTCGCGTCCATGTTAAGCCTGTTTGAACGTTTTTCGTGCAATTTCTCGGTAGATCGGTAGATCGCATTCTCCGGAATCGCGTAAACGCACGGCGATACAAGTGACTCCTCTGTGACTTATACGAGCGTTTGACCCAATATTATCATGGACAGTTGACGAGGTGAACGTTTCACTCTACGTGGCCGGAGCTTTCCTTTAAATTCCGATTCGATATAATTTTATTTATTTTATTCGATCGCGATATAAATTACAATCTGCTAGTTTTTGTTATTAAAAATCATGTTATTTAAACTAACTAAATAGGGCGGAGTTGAACAACACGTGTAATTTCTTCATGACTCAGTCTCTTCCCATCTCACAATAAACGGAATTTGTAATAAAGCGAGCTGAAGGGTCATCATTTCCTTACCTGTCCCGGGGCTCTCGAGATCTCTGGGTGCCGCACTCATCCACGCTTGTGTAGATCTTCGTCAGGGGATCGAGAGATAATAATCCGAGGTCAAACCGTGTCCACATGTAGTGTATGCGCCAGCATATCTTTTCTCCGGGATGAGCGAACGGTGAACTTGTTTCCTCGAGAGAAAATATGGACCGGGGAATGCGATGCGTGACTTAACTACGTGGTAATAAGCCCCGGTCGCAGAGTTACGATATCGGCGGTGCTGCGCCGGGAATAAAATGCCGAAATGATTTTTA